AGAAACATATACTAAATGTCTGGGCTATAGGTAATTGGCAAATAACTGAGATTATTCCAATAGCTGTCCTACCCGCAAGAGTCTAAGTGTTGTACTTGAAATACCTTAGCTAAGAGATTCCTGAGTCTAATTATTATTATTCTGCCCCAACCCTATAATAACTTATAACCAACCCTAAGAAAACTCAAAGACCATCCATCCCATCTATTGAGAGAGGGGGCACTGTTTTATTGAATTACTTGCAGCTGTCTTGGGGCAATGGTGTCTCTATGGGATCCTGTAAAAAACTAAAACAATGGTTAAGTGTCAGTAGGATCAGCTGTCACATTTGTAGCCAGTCTCTGAGTCGTGGGTAAGGCTTATGTGATGTTCTTATCCGAAGTTCTGGCTAGAGTGTTGTAAGAAGGTAGACTATCTCAGCTAGCCAGTTCGTAGTCCAAAGCCGATCTTAGAGTGGTGTTTATCAACTCAATGGCATCATTGTGAACCACGTGGAATTGTTGTGGGGCCCATCTTCCTTCTGGAGACTTCAGAGATTGCTGTTAGGAATTTTTTTGTTCACTGAGGAAAACTTAAACATTATTAATACCAAAATGGAAAGTTTAAATTTTTAGATAGGTATTTATCTAAAGAAAGGTACTAACGAGATAAAAACAAGTATGGGGAGAAATAGAATTTTGGGGAAATAACAGTTTGGGAACTCAGTGAGAGGTATTTTGCTATGATAGCTCTAGGTGATAAAATGTCCCAGCTGCTGAAAACAGAAGTCCCACTGAGGCCGTATCATTGCCCAACTGCTATCTGTCAGCCCACCACCCCCTATACCCCCACACAGACAGGCATACATACAATACCCCCACATAGACACACATACATACAATACCCCCACATAGACACACATACATACAATTAAAAACAAAATAAACCTTAAAAAAACAGTTGTATCAGGACTGCAGAGGTGGCTCAGTGGCTAGGAATGTCTACTGCTCTTGCAGAAGGTGGTTCAGTTGGTTCCCAGTACCCACATGGGGCTGTTCACAGTTGCCTAAAACTGCAGTGTGAGGATATCTGACTCCCTTGGCCTCTGAGGATATTTGCACACACATGGTACACATAAACTCACAAAGGCACACACATGTTCACATAAATGGGAAATAAAAGATTAAAAGGAAAAAATGTACCATTAACTGCTACAGTTAGATCCTTGACCCATTGTAGGCTAACCTTGAAATATGGTGCAAGGAAATGATTCAACTCCATCTTTTAACATTGCGGATAAGCAGCTATCCCAGAACCACTGGAAGACTATTATTTCCCAACGGGAGGCTCATGGCATCCTTGTTGAGAACATATGTTGGGGTTTCTTTGAACTGTCAGTTCTACCCATTATTCTATATATGTCAATTTTTGTGCTAAGACTGAAATATCTTGATTACTACCTCTTAGTTGAAAATTTTAAAATCAGGAAATATAACTGGGCATAGTAGTTCACACCTATGATCCCAGCACTAGGGAGATGGAAGGAAGAATTAAAACAGTGCCTTTGGCAGTCACATGTAGTGGCATTGTGTTTTGTTACCCAGTCATTTGATTGGAGTGCCAATACTATTCACATTATAGCCATACACTTTGATTTGTGTCAATCCACTTTTGTACTTTTTTCTGTCTCTTGTCTTTTGTTCCTTCTGTGTATATGTTTGTCTGATTGGTTGATAAATAAAGCACTGTTGGCCAACAGGGAAGTAAGATAGGTAGGACTAGGAGTCGAGGAGGATTCTGGGAAATATAGTCAAGAGGGGAGAGTCACCATGGGATCCCAGGAAGAGAGCCACATGAGGCTGTGTCCTCTGTAAGATAAGACCTTATGAAAATATATATTAGAGCCGGGCATTGGTGACACACGCCTTTAATCCCAGCACTCGGGAGGCAGAGGCAGGCGGATCTCTGTGAGTTCGAGAGGCCAGCCTGGTCTACAGAGTGAGTTCCAGGACAGCCTCCAAAACAATACAGAGAAACCCTGTCTCAAAAAAACCAAATATATATATATACATACATATATATATACATATATATACATATATATTAGTAATTATGGGTTAATAATTAAGTCAGAGCTAGCCATTAAGAAACCATAGCAAATGGCCAACAGCTTCATAATTAATATAGTGTTTTACGTGTTCATTTGGGACTGATGCGGCTCTGGGACCAGGCTGGTGGGAAGGATGCACGTTACACATCCTTACTTTATTCCTTTGTGTTAAATGTATTTTTGTGTACTATCTTCATTTCTCCATTGATATTTGTATATGAGACAGGCACTCATATAGCCAAGGTTACTGTGTAACTGAGTCTGATCTTGAACTCCTTACCTTCCTGTCTAAACTTTCTGAGTGCTGGGATTATAAGAGTGCATCATCATGTATATGTGTCTTGAGTTTTTTGTTGTTGTTGTTTTGGTTTTGCTTTTTTTTGGGGGGGGGTTTCAGACAGGGTTTCGCTGTATTGTTTTGGAGGCTGTCCTGGAACTTGCTCATGTAAACCAGGCTGGTCTTGAACTCACAGAGATTCGCCTGCCTCTGCCTCCCAAGTGCTGGGATTAAAGGTGTGTGCCACCAATGCCCCTACTGTGTCTTGATTTTTAAAGACTTTTTTGGGGGGGATCTGGGGTATTAAATAGGATTTTATGCAACTCAGGCTAGGCTTGAACTCACTGTGAGGCAGAGGTTGGCTTCAATTCCCCATCCTTTTGTCTTCACCCTCCAATTGCTGGGGTTTACAGGCATGAGCCACCACAAACAACCTTTTAAAGCATATTTTAAAACTTGTTTCCTCAACAGGGCGTAGTGTGTACTCTTTAATTTCAGCACTAGGGAAGCAGAAGGAAGTGGATCTCTGTGAATTCAATGCTAATCGATCTACTTACAAAGTTCCAGGCCAGCCAGAGCTGTATATAGTAATGCCTTGTGTTCCCCTATCCACCCTAAAATTCTCCTAGTCGGTTAAGAATTAAAATGCCAATGCTTTCATTTACTCATTCATCCAGTTATTCATTTAGAGGCTGGATCTCATGAGGCCCAGGCTGGCCTTAAACTACTGTTCCTTCTATATTCGCCTCTCAAGTGCTGGCATTGCTAGCTTATCCCACCACACCAACTGCTCCCTGCTTTATACTGACTTAATCCTTGTAAAATTCTAGTAACTTTACCTTGTTCCCTCTCTCCCATTTTTGTGCTATTGCTTTTCATATGTTTCTATAAACCTAACAGTACTTTGGTATGATTACTGTTTTGTACATGCCTATGTGTTTTAACACAAGTGAAACAAAGACAAACACACTATGATTCCATGCATATCAACCTCCTGTGGTAGTCAAATTCAGAGACATAAAGAGTGGTTTCCAGTGGGGCTGGAGAGATGGCTTAGCAGCTAAAAGCTCTGGCTGCTCTTCCAGGGGACAAGGGTTCAAGTCCCAGAAACCACATGGTGGCTCACAACTATCTGTAATTCCAGTTCTAGGGATTCCAACAAGAGAAATCCCTAGTGTGGCCTTCTTACATGTTGTATGCTTATGGTGCAAAGACATACATGCAGCCAATAAGTTCATACACAAAATAAAACAATAAGAAAGTATGGTTACCAGGGTCTAGGGGAGGGCAGTGATGTAGCATTTGATGGGCATATAATTTCAGCTGGAAAAGGTGAAAAAATTCTGGAGATGTATAGTGGGGATGGTTACACAGTAAGGGAAATGTGTGACACAGAATTATACCCCCAAATGATTAAAATGGCTGGACATTGTGGTTTGTTCTTGTAATCCCAATATGAAAGAGATTGAGGCAGAAGTATCCCAAAACCAGCCTGTGCAACATAAGGAGACACTCTTTCAAAATAAATCAAACAAGCAGACACATTTAAATGTTAAGTGATTTATTGTTTATTTATTAAGTCTATGAGTTTTTATCTTCATGTATGTCTGTTGTGGAGTATTATTTAAACTAGGCAAAGATGTGCTACGTTTGTTTTTGCTATGGAACATTATCTGTGGAAAGGTGTGTTACTTTTATTTATGCTGCATTTGTTTAATTATATAAGAATGTGTTGCATTTGTTTCATCTTGCTTGCCTAAGGCATCTGATTAGTCTAATAAAGAGTTGAATGGCCAATGGCTAGGCTGAAGGGAGGATAGGCAGGGCTGGCAGGGAGAGAGAATAAATAGGAGAAGAAATCTATGCGTCAGAGAAGGAAGAGGGAAGAATGAGAGAAGGAGGAGGAGAGAACAAGGAACACGCATGCCTGGGGCAGAAGCCAGGCAGACGCCAGCTAGCAGATATGAGAAGCAGTAAAAGTAAGATGTATAAAAGTAAAGAAGATAGTAAGCCCCAGAGGCAAAATGGAGATAAAGATGAACAGGTTAATTTAAGTTAAAAGAGCTAGCCAGGAAAGCTAATAGTAAGTCTCCATGTCATGATTTTGGAGATGGTTGGTGACCCCAAAGAAAAAGCCCTAATACGTATATATGCTCACCATGTTGATACCTGATATGCACAGAGGCCAGAAGGCACTGGATCCCCTTGGACTGGAGTTTAGAACTCATATAACCATATGAGTGTAGGGAATCGAACCTGGGTCCTCTAGAACAACCAGTGCTCTTACTATTTTATTGTTGTTTGTTTACCTTTTGTTTGAAACAGGACCTGTCTTGCTATAGCCCTTACTGTCTGGGAACTCACTATATAGACGAAGTTGACCTAAAACTCACAGAAATCCACCTGCCTCTGTTTCCCAAGTGCTGAGATTAAGGGTATGTGCCACCACACCAGGCCAGTCAGTGCTCTTATAACTGCTGAGCCATCTCTTCAACTCCCTAATTATTTATTTATTAAATTCCTATTTTATGTATGTGGGTATTTTTACATGTGTATACATTTGTGTACCACTTGTATACCTGGTGCCCATGGAAGCCAGAAGAGGGCATCAGATTCCCTGAAACGGGAGGTGCGGATGGTTGTGAGCTGCCATGTGGGTTTTGGGAACTGAACCTGACACCTCTGTAAGAGCAGCCTGCTTTCCTTTATTATTTCCATTTTTAATACTAACTTCCTGGGGGAGTTCCCCTAGTCTGCATAGCTCAGTGGTCAAGCCAGTCCTTTGGGTAGAGGATGTTTGCAAAACCTTGAACTTTTAAGATGTTCACTCTCAGCAAATTGATTGTATGTGAGCTGCGGGATTTGGTCAAGATTGCTTTTACTATCATGTTCTCTGGGGTAGGGCTTCTGTGGATCTTCCATTTGTGTGTATACTTTCCCAGACAGCCAGGTCTGCTGAGGGAACTGAGCCAGCCTTTCTGTAGCGCTCACTGACCTTGTCTGGTCCTCGGCTCCCCTCCACTGGACTAGGAAAGCTCCAGGTCATTTCCATCTTTAACTGATTCTGTTGCTGACTTTCACTCCAATTCAGGTCAACTCTCTTCTTGTTGACATGCTTCTATGTTTCACTGGAAACCTGACTCTGGTAAAACTGCCTTTGTCAGTGACCAAGGTAGTAGGTGATGGCGTAAAAAGTCTGCAACTTGCAACTCTTTGTTCTCTGATTCAAAGTTTTAGTTTTTCAGAAATAGATGCTTCTCGGTATGTTGTTTGCCTTTGGTTATCTTGAGAACTCTGCAAACATGATTTCTAATCTGGTTTTCAGTCCATGAGCCAAGAAGTAGGAGAGGTCTGACTAGAAGGAGAAATGTTCAGGTGAGGTGACTGGAGGAGACATGGAGAAGACGGCTTGAGAGGATACCTGATGTAACCGAACCATTTTATTGCTTACAGATCCAGGAGAGCCACCCGGAAGCTGGGGTAGCAAAGTGCTCAACCAGCAGTGGGGCCAATGAGGGTTTCCATCTAGGAATTATAACTGGTGCCAACAGGCAGAGATTTCATGGGGACCACAGCTGTGGCAGAGATGGTTGCTGTATCTATCACACATGAATAGTCTGTACATGCTTGTTCCTATCAGAGGAGCAACTCACATGGGTTGAATGTATCTGTCCTGTGATCACTTCATTCAGTTGGATGAAGCAGATAAATGAATGAACCACATTGTGAAGCTGGGAAAAGAGAGAGCAAGACATCATGTCAACCGGGCAGTGGTGGGTATACCCATTAATCCCAGTGGGTCTCTGGTCTACAGCTTGCATTCCAGGATAGTTAAGGCTGTTTCACAGAGACATCCTGTCTCAGAAAACAAACAAGAAAGGTATGTGCCAAGGGTGACAAACTTCAGGTGAGATAAAGTCCAACTCTATTCAGAGCACATTTGGAAACAACATAAAACGTTGCTAGACACGGTGGCACATGGCTTTAGTCCCAGCACTCAGGAGGAAGGTAGATCACTAAGAGCTTGGGGCCAACCTGGTCTACACAGAGAAAGGCAGGCCAGCCAGGGCAACTGTAGTGAGATCCTTAAAAAAGAATTCACTATCATTGTTTTTGGAAAATGTGTCCAATTTTTAAACTATATATCCTTTTGTTGCTAAGTCAAAATTAAATTTGTAATTAAAGGCAAATTTTACAAAGTAAGATTTAACACTAAAGATGACCAAAGGAAGTGGGAATGGAACAAGATGCATGACAGTTATGAATGCGGGAAGGAGGACAGGAGAGAGAGAGAGAGAGAGAGAGAGAGAGAGAGAGAGAGAGAGAGAGAGAGAGAGAGAGAGAGAGAGAGAGAGAGAGAAGAGAGAGAGGGGTGAGAATGTCCTGAAGGTACTTGGGAGATGACCTGATTGTCATTTTGATCTCTGACAGTGCCTAGATAAAGAAATAAGGGATAAGATTTATTTTTTAATTAAAAACTCTATTATTATATGTGTATGATGTTATACTTGTGTGTGTGTGTGTGTGTGTACATTTGCATGTACGCCTAGTGCCCAGAAGAGGGCATCTCCAGTCTCTTTTTTGTCACCTTTGATCAATATAGCTGGTTGTCCCCATCTTCATTGTCACCACTCCTTTAGTCTCTTTCCTGAGGACAGTCTTAGTATCTGCTTCAGGCTCTGCCTTTACATTATTTCCTCTTTCTCCATGGAGGCACTGCCCTGCTTCTACGTGACACTGCTCCTGGAGAGACTCACCCATAGGGAACTGACATCACCCTAGCCCAGCGTGGCGAACCAGTGAGTTTTACTGCGGTTACTTACAGGAATATGGGTAAATGGCTACTTACAGGAGCAGAAATGACTCTGAGACAGCTGTATCACCAAAGCCTACCCCAGCACGGGTGACAGCTCACAACAGCTGGGAACCTGGAACGTATTGCACAGCCTGCAGGCGGCTCAACAGGTTGGAGGGTGTCCTTTCCAGCAGCTCAGTTGGTATCTGCCTCTTCCAGTCAGTCCCCTTGGTCTGGGAGTCTCTCAGTAGTCCTTACAGCTTCCTGTATGCTTGGGGAGAGAGGTGTCTAGTGAATCCTATCATTTTCAGGGACTTCCTGAAACTATTTTGAGTTGTTCAGATGAGCTTAATGGATGTCCCTGTAGGGTGGAAGGTTTCATCCCCTTTTTAGAACACCCTGCATCTTACCGAGCTTTGCCCAGAGGGGGTAGCTTTACTTTGGAGGAAATGGCGGCACAACAGCTCTTCTTCCAACTTACCTTTCCTTATCTACTGCCTGCTTTGTTCTTTGTCAATTTTCCCAGACTGTCCAGTAGAGAATCCACTGAGTCATCTCCTTAGTGGCCTGAAGATCTTGACCCAAAACTGTGTCCACTACTAGAACTGAAATCACTTTCGTCCCTTCCTGAGGTGTTTCCTGATTTGTGCTGGCGTTCAAAGGGAGTCTTACCAGCAACAGGAGGAGGAGGAATGCACGTAGAAGGACTGTATGTGCTAGAGAACTGTATGTCCAGTCATAACTGTCCCATTCAAAGCTGGCCCAGGTCAAAGGAGGAACTGCTCATTCCCGCTGTGAATCATTTTGTACAACTTCCCCTCCCATCAGTACAGAGCCTTCTGACCACTGACAGGCTCAAGCCCTGAAAGCAGCCTACATCACAGCTGACACAAACACAGAGTGAATTCAGTATTGGAAGAAACAGACCTTAGACCTGACTATAAACCTTTCTAACTACTTTCTTGTTTGTTTGGTTTGGTTTGTTTCAAGACAGGGTTTCTCTGTGTAGCCCTGGTTGTCTTAGAACTCTGTAGACGAGGCTGGCCTCAAACTCACAGTGTCAGGATTAAAGGTGTGTGCCATCACACACAGCTATCCTTTAGCTGTTTCTGGCGGGCTCAAAATCTTCTCAGTCCCTGCCAAGTTTGACTGCTCTTCTCTCAATCATAGTCTTGTTTTTCACCCTATTTGCATGTCCACATTAAGCTAATCTGGGTCCAACTGGGCCCAGTTTGCACCAGATGGCATCCCATAAATCTGAGCTTTGGTCAGGGAGGGTACAGAGGCTCTTGCAGATTCAATGGAGGAAGTCATCTACCTTCAGGATTCCCAGAGGGGACTCATCCCTGCCCCATCCTCGGAGAGGCCATGATTTTGTTGATGACAGGAATTCCTTCCTGAGTTAGTTTCCAGCCTCCATATGTGAAGACCACTCATCACTTTACTTCAGAGACCTGTTCCAGAAGCTTCAAAAACTAACACTTCTCAGACCTGCAGACTTTTTCTGAAGAGATAGCTCTTTTTGACACTCGATTCTTTTCTGGAGTTTTGAACTGTAACACTTCTCAGAGCTGCACAGGTTCTTGAGTTAAATTCGAATTGACTGTCTGTACTCTTCACATATGCCTACTCCATTCTTGAAGGAGGGTGGGAGAAGAACCTGGTTGGGAACAGAAGACAGTCTCTACCTACCTCCTTTGTTTTGGACCTGTGTGTCCTAGGTTAACTTTTGGATCTCAGCCAGACTGATATCTAAAGCCTGTTCAGCTATTGTGGAGTAATCTTTTTGTACACCGTGAAGATGTGTCTTTGCCAAGGTGCCCTCTGATTGGTCTAATAATGAACTAAATGGACAATAGCTAGGCAGGAAGTATAAGTGGGGCTTGCAGGCACAGATAGGCCTCTGGGCAGAGAGGCAGAGTTGCCAGCCAGACAGTGATGAAGCCAGCATGGCAGTACAGAGATGTGAAATAATGAGCCACACAACAAAATATGGATTAACATAAATGGGTTAATTTAAGTTATAAGTGCTAATGGGACAAGCATAAGCTATGGCTGAGCTTTCATGATTAATTATAAATCTCTGTGTCATTATTTGTGAGCTGGTGACCCAAAGAAAAATCTGACTATATCCAGCAATTATTGTTACCCTTTCCTGCTACAGAAGCCCAGGCATTTCTCTCCTTAACATACTGAACCATATAAACATATTAACACTGAACATTGCTTGTGCACAAAGCGACCCACAGTTTTACCATGATTTGAGAAAATTGCTTCCCCATCAGATTCTTGACCACAGAGTTTTAAGAATCTCACTAATACACTTGAGTTCATGGGGCAAGTTTTGTCATGTTGGTGACCAGAGGAGCAAATGTTCTTAACTGCTAATCTCCATCCCTCCACACCCCCATTCCGAGTCTGGGTGATGTTACGCTCAGATCTTGGGGATCCCCAAAGATCACCACAGAGACTGAATTCATATGTAAAAGCAACGAGCCTCTATTCAAGCTCGAGCTTGGACTCTCAGTAGGTCCAACACAGCTGCCAAGTAGGTGCTGGGAATTGAACCCAGGTCTTCTGGAAGAGCAACCAGTGCTCTTAACCATTGAGCCATCTCTCCAGTCCCTCATATGATTATAGTGTAAGTCAAGAGTCCTGGCAAGGTGTGATGGCTCATGCCTTGATCTCAGCATTTGGGTGAGTGAGGTAGGAACCCTGAATGGATGTCAGTCTGGGATACACAGTGTTCTCAAAGCCAACCTGAGAGGAACTTGGGAAAAGCAGGTCACTATAGAGGACATGAGTTCTCAGGTAAGCACTAGGGAAACCAGGAATATTAAGCATGAAGACTTGTCTCTTCCGTGGAAGAGATGTGTATACATGTTTTCCAGTCAGAATGCTGAGAGTGGATGTTGTTATGTGCTGGTTGCAGGCTCAGGCCACACCCAAATCCTCCAGATGACACTTCCTCCCTAGACCTTTGTCTTTAGCTTTGTTTCTCAGTCAGTAGAATCCATCCTTAGGGGAAATGTCACATGTACTTTATAATAGCCTGGTGACCTCTACATTGTTTTGGGGAGTTTGGTTGGTTGGTTAGTTGGTTGGTTTCAGGGGGTGGTTTTTGGGCACGTTTTTCTTGGTATTGGGTTTTGTTTGTTTGTCTTTTGTTTTTGTTTATTTTTGTGTTTTTCAAGACAGGGTTTCTCTGTGGCTTTTGAGGCTGTCCTGGAACTAGCTTTTGTAGACCAGGTTGGTCTCGAACTCACAGAGATCCACCTGCCTCTGCCTCCCAAGTGCTGTGATTAAAAGCATGCATCACCACCGCCCAGCTTGTTTTTGGTTTTTTAAGATAGAATATCCCTGTAGCTTTGAAGTCAGTCCCAGAACTTGCTCTGTAAACCAGGCTGGCCTCGAACTCACAGAAATATACCTGCCTCTGCCTCCAGAGTGCTGGGATTAAAGGCATGTGCCATGACCGTCCAGCTTCTACACTATCTGACTGATGGAAACATTAGAGGATCCTAGAACCTAAAGCTATAGAATTATAGAATCCATAATTTTAGTAGAGGTTACATGGACTTTACAAGAGTTTTGATGTAGTCACATCTTAAGCCTTATTGTGCACGTGGAATTGAGATAGTTTTTTTTTTTTTTCTTGATTTCTCAAGACAGGGTTTCCCTGTGTAACTCTGACTTTCCTAGAGCTTTGTAGACCAGGCTGGCCTCGAACTCCCAAGTGCTAGGATTAAAGGTGTGAACCACCCCCACCTGGTGGGATTGAGATAATTACCAGGAAACTTTCCCCCAAAGTCATACCTTACTTAAATATGTATAAAATAAACTGCCTGGTGTCAGGCACTAGAAGTTTGAACCAACACTAGCTACTGAGTCGTGTTGAACCAGATTTCCTTCTTGCCTCATGAAGATCATTTCTCTACCGGCCATGGCATTTGCAGGGATCCCTGCAGGTGAAGTTGCATCTGCATGAGGCCGGTCCAGGTCCACATGAAATGTCTCCCTTTAGCAGTGACCGGAACCGAAGCTGGAACCAGGAGGATTAATGTGGTGCCAGGAAGTGGCCAGCACTCTGTCCATTTGCAGTCCTGGCCCTCAGGGGAGTATGGGCTCTTTAACAGGTGTAACCTGATAGGACTGTGCTCTCTTATTGTTCTGCCTTCTGACTGGTTCCCTTGTTCAACCTTGTTTAACTTTCCTATAACCAGATGTGTTGGTACATTCACGTAAACCCAGCTTTGGGGAGGTGGAAGACCAAGGATCAGGAGTTAAAGGATAGCTGCAGAGACATAGTAAGTATGAGGCCAGCCTGGGCTACATGAGACCTTGTCTTGAAAACAACAAAGATGGAGAAAACTGCTGTAATATGGGTGATGTGTGTCCCCTTACTAGTCCATATGTTAAATGCTTAGCCCCAGGTTGACAGTAAAGGTGGTGGAAACTTGAAAAGGCAGGGCTGGTAGGAGATTCAGGTCATAGAGGGTATCCCCATGGAGACCAACCACCCTTTTATCAAGGGACCCCAGATTCTTTCTCTATGACCTAGTGAGAAAAGAAGTTTTTTTCATCACACGCCTTGGCCATGATGTGCTGCCTTGCTAGGGTTCAAAGCCAAGGAGACCAAACAGCCATCAAATGAAACTGACTGGAAACCTCTAGAACCAAAGCTCACATCTCTTTACAAGTTATTTATTACCTCAAGGATTTTGTTATAGTAATTATATTAGTCAGGGTTTTCTCCAGTAACAGAGCTTAAAGAATTAATCTCTCTCTCTCTCTCTCTCTCTCTCTGTAAGTCACTATGACTTACAGGCTGTGGTCCAGCTAATCTAACAATTGCTGACTGTGAACAGAAAGTCTAAGAATCTAGTATTGTTCAGAAGCTGGATGTCTCAGCTGGTCTCCAGTGTATGCTGGAATCCCAAAGAAGTAGGCTCTACTGCCAGTGAAGGAACGGACTTGCTAGCAGGGTGAGGGCAAGCAGGCCAAGAGCAAAAACGCTTCCTTCTCCCGTGTCCATACGTAGGCCTACAGCAGAAGGTGGGGTCCAGATTAGAGGTGGGTCTTCCTGCCTCAAAGATCTAGATTAGAAGTGTATCTTCCTACTTCATAGTAAGCAAAACTCCCTCAAAGGTGTGCCTTTCAATCCTGAGATTTATTTAATTGCAGATGTGCTCAAGTTGACAACCAAAAACAGCCATCATAGCCATACAACAGAGACTAAAACAAACAAGTATTAGTGTAAAACAATTTGACATTTTTAGGGAGAGGGTTTTCTAATCAGCTACTCTACATATTATCTGATACAGGAAAATGCTATTTTCAAACTCTTATACATATGCTTTAATATTCCTTTTGATTTTTTTTCTTTTTAAAGAATTTTAAACCGGGCAGTGGTGGCTCATGCCTTTAATCCCAGCACTAAGGACACAGAGGCAGGCCCATCTTTGTGAATTCAAGCCCAGCCTGATCTATAGAGAGAATTCCTGGACAGCCAGGGATATCCAGAGAAATCCTGTCTTGGAAAACAAAACAAGCAAAAATTAAGACTTATTTTTATTTTATGTGAATGAGTGTTTTGCCTGCATCTGTATCTGTGGACCACATGCATGCAGTGCCTGTAGAGGCCAGAAGGGGGCATTAGATCTCCTGGAACTGGCGTGACAGAAGGTTGTTACATACCACATGGGCGATGGGAATTGAATCCAGGTCATCTAGAGGAGCAGCCGTCGTTATTAA